GGAGTGGGGGCTTTGGTCTAGTAGTAAAGTGATATGTTTGGCGACTTCACAAAGCTCTTCATGAAAATGAAGCAAGTTCCCAGAGCTACAAAAGACAAAACAAATTCACTACCCGTTTTACGTTAAGCAGTACGTGGAGTAACTCCCGATATAACACTAAACCAGACCTTTGAAACACTTCGGCAGTGTGCCCAAATAATGAATCAGAGCACATGAAGCCATTGGTTTAGTAGTAAAGTGTAGGTTAGCCGCACTTCATGTGTTCGAATTATGTAACAAATTGAGTTGAGAAGGGTAGAGGGCTGCACCCATTATCCACTGAGTTTCGAAACGTGCACCAACTGGCTAAAAAGACTTCTGACATGAAATCCTTTTGGTCTTGAAAGATGTGATATTATTTCTTTAACTGGGGGTTATCTTTGGGTTCTAATGTTATGTTGTAGTTATACATGAGAAAGAGGAATCTATGAGTGCAATAATTTGGTGTTTCTGAGTAGAGATAATATTGTGCAAGTAATGGGTAGCTCTTTAATGGTAAAGTCATGCTAACAATGTCTTTAGGGTCTCAAATGTTGCGGGTACCCATTTTTGAGCTCGGGTTATGTTCTCTGTGTACCTGATGAAGTAGAAACCTAATTTAGTAGTGGAGGAAGCCGATTATCTAAAGTAAAATAGGACATTTTCACTAAGCATTGCCTTGTGGTCCGGCCCTTCCCCGGACCCTGCGTATAGTGGGAGCATAGTGCACCGGGCTTCCCTTTATTGCTTTCTACATGAGGAGTTATAGTAGATGGAAAACTATGTTGCTTTGCCTATGTTATATGAACTTGGGTAAGTAAAGTAAGAATGCATGTTGAGGCAGTTGATTTGCCTAGGTCCCTTAATATGGATACAAGGATACCAACTGAGAGTTGGTGCAAGGCTATTGATAACAAGTAAATGCAGTTTCCGGTAAGCACTATCTACAAGGCTGATGATTAAATTAGCTTTATTTTGGGAGTTAAAAAGTTTGGAGTAGAATTGTCTCTTTTTGCGTATTTGTTCTAGGCATTTAGGATTAAAACGAGTTTAAGTTATCCTTTTGTGCTCTCTCCATTCTAACCTTCTGGGGTATTAAAAAAAAACCTTCTGGGGTATAATCCGATATATTTATGGTAATTGATCATGCCTGAAAAGGCTAGAGAGGCACCTATGTGTGTATCTCAGAAGCAGATCTCAACCACAGCATATCAGGTCATCTTGGACCCCACTCCCCAGGGTGTTCCAGGTGAATTTAAGGGTCTGACTAACGTAGTTCTCAGCCTGATTTAGCTCCCTTTCTAATCCTGAAGTTCCAAGAAACTTTCTACTCTTAGACAAAATACAAATACCTGGAATTATTTAATCTTTCTTCGGAATCAAACTATGCCATGATACTTAATTCTTTTGTAATTATGTTGCATGACAATTGAGTGATGTAGTGATTTCTAATTTGATCTAATTGAAGCGGCAGTGTAACCCTTTTTGTCTTAACACAAACTTGATCTTTGTACATGTACATAATTTCCGGTAAAAGGCAGAGCATCACATACTGTTAAGTGAAAAGTTATGCACTTTGAAATTTGACCCCCCACCCCCACCCACCCACACACATATTGCACTTGTAGCGGAATGTGTTTATTTTGGATTGCTTTTTGCAAGAGTTGCTCTTTGTCTGTTAAGGTTAGTTGGGGAGGAATTATTTCCAATATTTCTGCACACTGATGATTGCAAAATCAGCTGACCTGGTTCTCTTGATTGTGTTTTAGACGACGAGACGGACCGTCCCTTTCCTATTTGTTCGTGGAGATGGTGTAATACTGGTGTCTCCTCCACTGCGGACTGTTTGATCAGGAGAAAAGCTGTGCTGGTCACAAGTGTGTATCCAAATCTGCAATCACGCTATATTTTGTTTAAGGTGCTGCAGTTGACTCAATAGACTATTACTGGGGAAATGTTGGGGAAGGTGGTCTGTGTAACAATCTGGTTTTCGAAGCAAAAGACTACTAATTTTGAAATCCTTGTGATCATTCTAGCATTTGCTATTGTACCCTGAGCTTCATAAGTTTATGTAATTGATTAGGACCTCATGAATCTTGAACTGCCTATTTCTAAGGTGCAGCTGTAAAATGATCAAAGTGACTGTTTATCAAAATAGGGGTGTCAAAGACTGACAACATGCTCTTAACTTGAATCTGCCTTACTTTTGTTTTTTGGTAAAGGTGGAGCTGGGCCGGCTTGCATATCGACTATTTGACTGGTTAAGTTAACCTGTTGCTAAGGGACAACTGCTAAATGAGAGAATTGTCTGTTCTATTTTTTTCCTTATTTGCTCGTCATTGGCTTTTTAATGATTTCTCTCCCTGGTAGATTCTTGTATGTTGGGCGTATAATTCCTTGTTCCAAGGGGTATCAGTTGCCGTTGGTTGGTTTTGCAAAAAACAAGGAAAATGATATCAGATGACAGGCAGTATTCATTGTGTATTATGAGAATTTTTATAAGTTAGTTAATTTACATTGATTGTCAAATTATGGCAACTGTCATTCTTTATCTGAGTTTGGGACATGCAAGTTCACAACGCTAGAGTTAAAAAGGCGTTTGTGGCTTTGTGGGGGATATTTCTATACGAGTGCTCTACCATCTGAAAAAACCTTTTCCTTGCTGTTTGTCACCACCTTTTCTATTTAAGCGTATGTTAAGAGAAATAAGTTGGGATAACAGTGTGAGCACGTGATTTTTGCCCTATGAAAAAATTACTCCCAAAAAATTTAAAATAAAATGATTTTCCTTGGTATGCAATTTTGAGAATTTTTGTGACATTTTTGGATAATTATTTGTATTTGTCTGTGCATGTTTATTTGTTAAATTAATAAAAAATATAAAAATATGTCGCATTTTGCATGTAGGATTTAATTCTACAATTTTTACTAATTAAGTTTGTTTTACAAAAATTGAAAATTACAAAAATAGGCATCTTTTGCATTTTTAGCATTTAATGTCCAAATGTACAATTTTATGCTTAATTATTACTTAATTGTGCGTTAATTGTTATTGGGAGTTAATTTGCACTTTTATAACTTAATAATAATTTAAGGATTTTTAGGACTTAGTTTTAGAAAAATAAAAGAAGAAAAGAGAGCAAAAATACAAGGAAAAATCGGATTGGGCCACTTCTTCNTAATTAAGTTTGTTTTACAAAAATTGAAAATTACAAAAATAGGCATCTTTTGCATTTTTAGCATTTAATGTCCAAATGTACAATTTTATGCTTAATTATTACTTAATTGTGCGTTAATTGTTATTGGGAGTTAATTTGCACTTTTATAACTTAATAATAATTTAAGGATTTTTAGGACTTAGTTTTAGAAAAATAAAAGAAGAAAAGAGAGCAAAAATACAAGGAAAAATCGGATTGGGCC